GTAGAAGGAGGTTGTATGGGGGGGATCTATGGGGACTGGGAGGGCTGGGTGCACCCTGGGGTGAGGGGCTTGTTGAGGGGATGGAGGGTTTGCTGGGGGGGGGAGGATAGGGAGGCAGGGATGGGGGTTGCCAGGAGACGGGAGCCTCGGAGGGGCGTCCTTGGGGAGGCTGGAGCGGGGAGGCTGGTGAAGGGACATATAGGGGGTGATTGGGGCGGGCTTGAGTTCTATGGGGTGAAGGGGAGGGAAGGGGCATGTCTGGGATTGGGGGTGATTTGGGGTGACCCACAGTGAGGGGCCTGTTGAAAGGGTAAGAGATTTGGGGCTGAGGGAGCTCAGAGAGAAGTGGGGCAGGGGAGCTGGCACACTGCAGCTCCCCCAGCTTCGCTGTTGCGAAGGGGTTGGTCTTTTGGGTGGGATTTTATTTTATTCCTGGTTTTATAGCGATGGCTTTGAACTGTCTCGTCATAACCCAGGTGTCCACCGCCAGATCCTGTTCACGACGGTGGGCTGGTTTGTTGGGTATCACCTGATCAAGCACGCGGAATACGTGCACGCAAAGCGCGACAGGGAGCTCTTCGAGTATGTGAGGCAGCATCCCGAGGACTTTAAGATAAAAGGTATAGTGAGCTGTTATTTTAAGAAAGCCCTTGATATGCCATAATTAGTGCTAAATAAGGACTAATATTTATCATTATGTTGCTGTGGTACTGATCAAATCCATTCTTCTCTGGCGAGTCTGACATACTTTGCACAAGTCTGGAAACTTGTGATATATAAAGAGGGACATAAATAGGTGATATATAAAAAAAGGGACATAGAGAGGTGATATAAAAAGAGACATTCTCACTCAGCCAACCAGCTGCCTTGATAACCCTCTCTTGTGAAAATCTTATTTTAATATAAAAATTGCAGAGCCACAACAGACCAAATTCATGCCAGTGAAAGAGAAGCAATGAAAGTAAAATTTTTCACTGGGTTGTGTCAGCAGATAGTCTGTAGAAATAACACTGAAGAACAAGCTCCATTTACTGGTATCTGCAAAACCCTATGAAAAGGAAGAGAAATTTCCTACTCAGTTTCTGCATCAAGTTAATAGTTCACTGGACATAGCAGGAGACAAATGTTTGGTGACCTTGTTAGCTTTTTCTAATAAAAAAAAACACCCTTTTCTATTTAAGATTTCAAAATCTACCTCAAATATTATTTTTTTCCCCTTTCCATTCTTTGCCTTTTGCAGAAAAGAAGAGAATAGGAGAGCTTCTGGAGGATTTCTATCCCATTCGCTGAAGATTTCTTCAGCAGCTACGAGCCTCTGTCACCACATGCAGAGCATCAAACCGGCTCCGTACTGCTAACTTGAACAAGCTCTACCTTAGTAACATTCAAGTGCACGTGGCTAGGATAAAAATGGTTATGCATTTTCATTTAATTAAAATTATGATTAAATACACAGTGTTTCATTATTCTTTGCTTTGACATTATATCATCATAGTGTGTGTAACATTGATATTTCTGATAAGGTAGTAGTCTCAGTTCATCCCTTTTTCAGTTAATTGTGAAGATGGAATATTGTTTATGCAGAGTACATTTAAAAAAAATGGACGGGTAAATTCCTGCTTTCTGTTACTCACTAGCTTTTTTCCTAACTTTTGAGCATACTCCAAACCAGCCCTGCAGGACAGTGTAGTGGGATCAAAGCCAGAGGTTGCCTGTAAAGAAGTTCTGTACCACCAGGGGCAATATAGGCTCTCCATAATTGATTCCCTTTATGTTTTGCTTCCTCATTTTGCTTTTTCTTGGCTGAGGAGGAGGATCCAGGCTTTCCATTTCCCAGCTTGGTTTGTGGATTCTGAATCTACATCTCTTGAACCCCAGTGTTTTGCAGACATGCTGGAGAGCTACAGTTCTGAATTTCACTTAAGGAGTGAAGTGCTCAGTGCATGTGAAGGTCACAATGCTTCCAAATGTGTTTAAATGCTTGAGTCTGAAAATACAGAAATGTAAAAATGTTGAGACTGTTCTAGTGTCTTTAAGCAAAGTCAGCAATGCATCCCCAAGGAAAATTCTGAAAGTGATCTTGAAAACCCTGTAAAAATTCTAGTATCTTCATAGATTTGTATCTCCTCCTTCCCTTTTTTTGTTACTGGGTAATGACTGTCCTAACCTACCCTTGCTCAGCTATGGTTTCAATAACGGAGTGCAGTTTTGGAGGAATAGGAGAGGAGCCCTGGAACAGAGGGAAGTTGTGGAGACTCCTTTTCTGCAGACCTTCAAAACTCACCTGGATGCAACCGGGTGCCCCTGTTCTGGGTGTCCCTGCTGGAGCAGGGGGTTGGACTAGGTGATCTCTAGAGGTCCTTCCAACCTCAACCATTCTGTGATTCTGTAATCAGTTCAGAACAAGGTCTCCAGCTTCTGTTGCAACCATTATCAAAGTTTCTTTGTCAGTTCAAATTACCAACCTGAATTTCTAAATACAAGGTGCTTTGGTCCAAGATTCCTCCACTGCTGCTGCATTCCCTAGTGTACAACTTCTACCCAGGGCAGCTCTTTGCACTGTGCACTGGCCAGGGGTACTTTCTCAAGGGCTTTTTTTTTGGAAGGAAGCTTGCACGGGCCAGAACCCTTAGGAGCTGAAGCTGTTCGTGCCCTGTGAATGCAGCTGCTTGTCCAGCTCCATTATCCCATCCCATCACTCGTGCGTTAGAGGTGCTGCTGGAGCAGGGGTGAGTGTCCTTGCTGTAAGAAAATAGGTGACCCTCAGCTCCAGAATACCTAATGTCCCAGGATCCACATGCCCATGAGGAGATGAGCCTGTGCAAAATGAGTGCGAGAAAAGGACCTGTCTCTCTCCACCATGGGAGCTGAGAAGGCGCCATGTCCACCACCATGAGCTGAGGCAGCCCTGCTAGAGGAGAATCCCATCCAGGGCCAGCTCTGCTGGGTCAGCACATGGGGACACTGGTATCTACTGTTGAAGAGCAGGCTTCCCCTTCCCTGACCTCGGGGGAAGCTTCAGACCGGGCTTCAGCCAAGAAAAAAGCACCACCACGACACAAATCTTCAAGGCATTTCTTTTATTGTCAAGGAGTGGGGGAAAGTCCAGCCCAAGTCCAGGTACCAGCTGGACAAGGGGCTCAGCATTTCCAAAGGGCTCTGACAGTTCTCAGTGCAATKGGRCAAGGCRGTYGCCTGCAGGTTGCTCTTTGAAAATAAAGAGGTTAATCTCGAGCCCGGGAGCTCTTYGGRTGGACCTTGGAGATGATGGCAGGTGTCTCTTCATGCAGGGACAGCAACAGGCGAGGAGGTTCTCCMAGGGTCCAAACCATGGCTCTTGTTCAGCACCGGGATGAGGGTGGAGCTGCCTCGGTGCATGGAGGACGAGTAGGTCTGTGGGAAGAGCACAGATGATGGGTGATGGTGGGATCCTCTCCTTGGTGACACCCACACCAGTTCTGCATGGGCTCCTGAGACAACCCCCAACACCCACCCAGGGTGTTTTTGTGCCCGGCTTGCCCAGCGAGAGACACAGGTGCCAATATCAACCCTCCAAGAYGGTCGGCATTGACCAGAAGAGGTGAATCCCCTTTTCATCAAGGAGACCTCAACCTGCCAGGAACTGGAGGGATGTCACAGCCGTGTCAGAGCAGTTCCCCAAGACCCCCTGGGCCCAGGACCCTGTCTCCCTTCAACCCCTTCTCCTGGTGCCCGCGCAAGCTCCCACCTTGGCGTCCAGGGCGCCGTTCACCAGCTGGGCTGCCCCTCGCCGAGGTTGATCTGCTCCAGGATCTGGCTGTAGCGCCGCGTGAGGGCGTTGGCGTCCCTGGCGAGGTGGCTGAGCACCTGCTGCAGGCCGTGCAGGTGGTGGGCAAGGCGCTCCTCCAGCTCCGCGCCCTCCGYGTGCTCGGGCGCCGGGCACGCGCCGCCCACGGGCGCGCTCTGCTCGCCGCCGCCGCCGCCCAGGCCTCTCTGCACCACGGGCTTCATGGCCTTGAGGAGCTGGTAGCGCTCGTAGAGGTCGGTGCGGGCGCCGGCGCCGGCCTCGGGGGGCTCCGCGAAGACGCCCCGCAGCAGGCTGGGGAACATCACCTCGCGCTCCATCCTCTGCGTGGCCGAGAAGTACTGCTCCATGGCGCCGCGTCGCCCGGCCTCCGCTCGCCTGCCCTCGCCCTGCGCTGCCTCTGCCGCCGCCGCGGGGGCTTCTTGTGCCGGGGCCGCCGTGTGGGGCGGCCGTCCCTCCTCCGCGCGCAGCCAATGGCCGCGCTGGGGGCGGCGGGAGCCGGGCTTGGCCATGGGCCCAGCTGGAGCTTGGCCACGCGGCCACCACGGGCCAGGCCTCTGCTCGGCCTTCCCCCGAGCTGGCGGCAGCCCCCGGGTGCCCGGGGCAGGACCTGCACACGAGGGCAGCTGCTGAAGGGCCCTCCCGGCCTGTCCTCCCTCTGCTCTGCCAGAGATGGCTGGGAGACTGCTGAGCTCCTGCCCCCCTCGCCTCGTTGCGTCTCCCTCATGTCCTTGTGCAACTCCTGGTGTACAGGTCCTGCTGACATTCCGTGAAACAGGGTTTCGTCACAACTAACACCGAAGTGACAGGTAGCAGCAGCCAGGGAGGAATTTTGAGAAAAAAGCCCTTGTCATTAAGCTGCTGTGTTAGTCGGGGTATTACCTGAGAACTAGGCATCTAATTACTAAAGTTACTATATATATTATATATTTATGTATATTTGTATATATATTTAGGCTACTTGGAAGATAACCTGATGGAAAGCAGATCTGTAGAGAAGCAACTGTTGGACGTGGTGGACGTCAAGTTGACTGTGGGTCAACCATGAACCCTCATAGCACAGATTGGCATTGGTTCCTCATGCTGCATTAGGAAGAACATGGCCAGGTCGAGAGGGCCCTTCTCCTGCAACCTCTCCTGCTGTCCTCTTCTCCTCGGGGAATTACAGACCCTGCAAGAAACTTCCTTGGTCTGTGCCTGCACTCTATGCATGGGGTGATATGGGGGCTCCTGGAGGGTTTTGCAGATCTTCAGGGCCCACTGTGTCCCCTCAAGTCCCCTTTCCACATCCCCCAACCTGCCCCGCTGCTGTGTCTCAGCTGCGGGAGACCCTCTCATCTTCTACTCAGCCTCGGTGAGGCCACATCTGGAGGTGTCCAGTTCTGGGCTCCTCAAAACTAAAAGCATCCAGCAAAGTGTTTTCAAGACAATGAAGAAACTGGAGAATCTTTCATATCAGGAAAAGAGGAAAGAGAAGATGGAGGGAGAAATCTTAACAACGTGTATAAGTGTTTGAAGGCAGGGTGTAAATACGAGCCAGGCTCCTCTTAGTCATGCCCAGTGATAGGACGAGAGGCAACAGGCACAAACTAAAAACAAAGGTAGGTCCCTCTGAACATTTTCACTGTGAGGTTGACCGAGCCCTGGAACAAGTTGTCCAGAGAGGCTGTGGAGTTTCCATCCTTAGAGCTATTCAGGACCCACCTGGGCACAAACCTGTGCCACATGCTCTATGTGTCCTTTCTTGAGTGGGGGATTGAACTAGATGATCTCCAGAGGTCCCTTCTAACTGCAACCCTTCTGTGATTCTGTCACTGGGGCAGAGGCTGTTGGGGAAGGTGGCCAGGTCTGCCTGTCTCGGCATGGCTGTGCAGCCATGTGGCAATCAGGCTCTATTTTGGGAAGGTCCCAGAGGCCCCTTTGACCTCTTGCTCCCCTTGGCTGTTTGGGAGAGCAGACCATGAGTATCCAGTGATGCCACGACACCCAAAAGCAGTGGCGGGAGAGCCAAGGGAGCTCAGGGCTCGGTAACCACCTCGTGTCTGGCCTCCATCAGGGTCCAGGCTTTCCCTCTTTGGGGGTCATCGGGGCTTGCCAGGAGGCCTGAGGTCCCTGTAATTCCTTGGTGCAACAGCAGTGCTGCTGCTGAGGATTTCGGAATTGAGATATTTGAGAAGTTCTGCTGAAGTTCTCCTGAAGCAGCTTCTGGGAGCAGTGTTGGTCCGCTGGTTTCCCAGGGACAAGGAAGGAGACTGCCCATCTGCAGTGCTGGGGCCTGATAGTTGTCCCTGATGGAAATGCAATGGTGATGAAACAACACACAGACACTCCCTGGGCCAGAGCTGGGCTAGGAAATGTTATTAGACATTGCTCAAAGCAGACGGCTGCTCAGAGTGAAGGCTGCAGCAACAGCTTTGCAGAAGAACTAGGGCAGAAGCCCTTTCTGAGGGTGCTGGGAGGAATCCAGCATCCCACCCTGAGGGAATAAGGAGAGAGAGGTCCAGGAACTGGATGTTTCGCCCACACAGTGCTGGCAAAAACCTTGTGGAAGAAGGGAGGAAGAGGATGGGGCCAAGATCTTCCCAAGGGTCCATCTATCTCCTGGCCCATACTCCTTGTCTCGCTCTTCCTGGAGACCCTGGGGAAGGAGGTTGAGGAGACTGGAAGGAACTGTGCATGGTGCAGTGTTGCTGCATTAGGACTAATGCTGGCATGGGAAATGGCTGTAGCCTGGGGACATCGATGGGTCTGTTGGACCCTAGAAAGCCCCAGGAGAAGCACTGATCTGAGAGGCTTCCTCCGGTGCACCAGCTCTATGCTAAGAGTGTGCCTGAGACACTCTTGATCCTTTGGTGCCATTGGAAAGGAGCCTGGCCAAGTCCAGGGTCCCAAACACAGCAATAGGGTCTATGCTGAGGTCCCTGGTGGATCGGTGAGCCATGGTGTGGGCTGCTGCTAACCCACCTGCCCCAGTGACACCCAGAAAGCACTGTGGGACTGAGGTGCCAAGGGGCCACCTTATGCAACCTTGGGTATCCCAAGCCCTGAGCTAGCCCTGGGCCACCAGCACCGGACACTGCAGACAAGGAGGCGTCTCCTCACACTATGGGGAATCATGGTCCTGAGCACTGTCCTTGACACCATCAAGTCTCTGCATGGGATGTTGGTTCTGTCTGACCTCAGCTCTCTTGCACTGCGCTTCCTTCTTCAATTAAATTCCCACCTCTGCAGGTGCCTGGGGAGTTAGCCCAGTGCTTGGTCCTGGGCATGGGTTTATGCATGTTGGGATGTCCCAGACACTGCAACCCTGGTTGACACTAAGTTAACCATGAGTGAGCAGTGTGCCCTCGTGGCCAAGAAGGCCAATGGCATCCTGGCCTGCATCAGGAGGAGCGTTGCCAGCAGGTCAAGGGAGGTGATTCTGCCCCTCTACTCAGCTCTGGTGAGGCCGCACCTGGAGTACTGTGTTCAGTTCTGGGCACCCCAGTATAGGAGAGATGTGGAGCTTCTGGAGAGGGTCCAGAGAAGGGCAACCAGGATGATTAAGGGAATGGAACATCTCTCGTATGAAGAGAGGCTGAGCGAGCTGGGCCTGTTTTCTCTGGAGAAGAGACGGCTCAGAGGGGACATGATTAATATGTATAAGTTCAGGAAGGGAGAATGCAGGGAGGAAGGGGACAGGCTGTTCTCACTGGTGGCCAGCGATAGGACGAGGGGTAATGGTCACAAGCTGAAACACAAGAAGTTCCGTCTCCAGGTGAGGAGGAGCTTCTTTACTGTTAGGGTGACAGAGCAGTGGAACAGGCTGCCCAGGGAGGTTGTGGAGTCTCCTTCTCTGGAGGTCTTCAAAACCCGCCTGGATGCCACCCTGTGCCACATGCTCTAGGTGTGCCTGCTTGAGCAGGAAGGTTGGACTAGATGATCTGTAGAGGTCCCTTCCAACCTTAAATATTCTGAAATATTCTGAAATATTCTGTCAGCACTCAGAGAGGTCCTGAATCATTGCTATGGATGGGGATGAGCGAGCACAGAGATTCCACAAATACAAGGAGGTCCAGGAGAGACATGTCCTTGCATGGCAGAAATGGGATTTTTCCACCTTGCTGGGACACCAGAAGAGACACCGTGGCTGGACATGCAGAAGAGAGGGCACAGCACTGCTGGACACTCATGGGGCTGCCAGGAGCACGGTGCTTGCTCGTGGTCTGCTCTGTGGGAGAGCCAAGAGGAGCAAGAGGCCAAAGGGGCCTGTGGGACCTTCCCAAAATAGGACCCGATTGCCACACAGCCCCACGGCCATGTCAGGACAGGCAGACCTGGCCACTTTCCCACCTTGGCCTCTGCCCCGGTGATGGGGACACAATGACGCCATCCCTGTGGCCGGGTCGTTGTCCTGGCCGTCAGGAGCTCGGCTGCACCGGGGCCCCATGACAACCCGGGTGCTCCAGACCCTGCCAGGACACTGCGATGGGGTCTTCGAGGGGGGCATCCCTGCACAGGCTGCATTCTGGAGTCGCCATCACCAAACTCACGGGCTCACAGAGCCCTGTGCAGGACCCTGGCCAAGCTCTACCACATCTCCAGTGGTGGGGAAACCGTGAGCCCTGCTGCTCCTGGGCGCTGCAGCGTTGCCCCATGTGCAGACACCTCAGTGCACCAGCTCACAGGGCTGTTCCCACCATGGTTTTAGGCTGTCTTTCACCAGCAGACCCCATGGCTGGAGGAAATCCCTCAGCAGGGGGCTATTTCTGGGCTTTGCTCATGTTCACACACTAATTAGACCCCCTGGTTCTCTGTCAACTCTGAAGTCAACCCAGTGTCTTGCTAACGGTGGGTTCTTTCCTAAGTGCTCCCGGGTTGCTGCTGGCTGCCGTCACCTCTGCGCTAGTGGCTATCAAACGGCGTTTCACAATCTCTCCGTCGGCTTCACGAGCCAAGCGTTGCATAAGGAGAGACAACCTACGACGGAGCGGGGCAGCAGCTCCGTTCAGCAGCTGCCCTCGTGTGCAGGTCCTGCCCCGGGCACCCGGGGGCTGCCGCCAGCTCGGGGGAAGGCCGAGCAGAGGCCCGGCCCGTGGTGGCCGCGTGGCTGAGCTCCAGCTGGGCCCATGGCCAAGCCCGGCTCCCGCCACCCCCAGCGCGGCCATTGGCTGCGCGCGGAGGAGGGACGGCCGCCCCACACGGCGGCCCCGGCACAAGAAGCCCCCGCGGCGGCGGCAGAGGCAGCGCAGGGCGAGGGCAGGCGAGCGGAGGCCGGGCGACGCGGCGCCATGGAGCAGTACTTCTCGGCCACGCAGAGGATGGAGCGCGAGGTGATGTTCCCCAGCCTGCTGCGGGGCGTCTTCGCGGAGCCCCCCGAGGCCGGCGCCGGCGCCCGCACCGACC